TCTTTTTTTTCTCCCCCCTCATTAAATTTTGTTTTAATGGGTATTAAAATACTGTGACAAATTTTTGGTCAAGTTGTTAACATTTAAAAAGTACTGATTTTAAAAACTAATAACTTAAAACTGCCATACAAAAACAAACAAACAAAAAAAACAACCCACAAAACAATTGGTCCACAACACACTTCTGTCCCATTAACCAATCTTTTACTATTAAACTTAAATGGTCAACTGAGACAAACAGTTCTGGGACTGTTCTTCCACCACTGATTAAGACAGGGTGCTGGATGTTATGGGGAACATTCATTCAGTCTTCTGAGCAGACACAGTGACCTTCCCAGCTCCAGCAGCCTTCTTGTCTGATGCTTTGATAACACCCACAGCAACCATTTGTCTCGTAAAAACCCAGACGAAGGTAGCCAAAGAAGGTTCCCACACATATAGGCTTGTCAGGAACCACATCAACAACGACAATACCACTAGACTTCTTCTGTTTGACCTGTGTGACAATCCAGCACAAGGCACATAACCAGTACTGATTTGGCCAGGATGGTTTAAGATTATCACCTGAGCAGCAAAGTCACCTGCTTCCACTGGTGGGTCATTTCTGCTGTCACCAGCCTCATTACCACACTGAACATCTTTCACAAGGATGTTCTTAACAAATTGAAGTCAACAGTGACCAGGCAGAGCTTCAAAAGACATTACTTAAGTAGTAACATTGACTGGGGCAAATGTGACCACATGCCAGGCTTGAGCATGCTAAGCTCCCTTCTGCCCACAGAGAAAGTACCAACACCACTAATCTTGTAGACATCCTGCAGAGGCAGGGGCTTGTCAATTGGATGAGTTGGTGGCAGGATGCAATAGAAAGCTTCAAGCAGTTTGGTTACACTGGCTCTGCCATCCTTCCGAGTGACTTTTCTTGCCTTGAACCAAAGAATGTTAGCACTTAGCATGCTCTCACCATTCCAACTAGAAACTGTCACAATGGCTACTATGTCAGGATTTGTCGCCAATTTCCCTGATGCAGGTGCTAAATTGTTTAATGATTTCCTTACATCTCCTCTGGCTGCAGGGTGGCTCAGTGGAATCCATTTTGTTAATGCCAACATTTAGTTGCTTCACCCCCAATGTGTAAGCTAGAAGGGCTGCTCATGGTCTGCCCATTCTTTGAGATATCAGCCTCAAATTCACCAATAGCAATAGTCAGGACAACAGTTAGCCTGTGATGTTCCAGTCATCATGTTTTTTATAAAGCCTCTGTGTCCTAGGGTATCAATGCTGGTCACATAGTACTTGTTGGTCTCAAATTTCCACAGGGAGATAACAAAGGTGATGCCAGGCTCACACTCAACTTTCTGTTTATCCAAGACCCAGATTTATGTGAAGGGGCCCTCTACCTTCTCAGCAGCTTCCTTCCCTAGTTTCTCAATGGTTCTTTTGTCAATCCCACCACATTTTTAAATTACATGGCAAGCACTGGTGGACCTATCTAAGCCCACGTGTCCAATGATGATGATGTTGTGGGTCTTCTCCTTCCCATTTTGGCTTAGGTTTTGTGATGGTATTCACCAACACCTGTACTCTGGAAACAAATCTACTGGGGAAAAAAGCAGCTTCAATGTCTTTTTTGAAAAGGCCAGGCCATCGGTCTAATCAGTTATCTTACCTGGAATTCCAAATACTTTTCAAAGTTCTTTCCATCTTTCTAAAAATTCTACTTTCATTGTTTAACCCATGAGAATTTCTCTAACTTAAAAGTTAAAAGCTCATACTATACACAGAGAATATGACATGTTCAAAGACTAAATTTTGTCAAAACCTTAGGATACATATTATAATTAAATATCTGCAAACACTCCAAAGCACAAATTAAAAGGTTTAAAAAATCCCCAAGATGTTTCTGAAATGCTCCTTACTAGTTGCTGTTAAATCTAGGTATTCTCGTTCAGCCATCAAAATCCTAGAATTGATTCGTGGAACAACATTTGGTTGATTCATGATATATTCAACCACATCCTGATCATGGGACAGTTCACCCTATAGGAAAGCGAGAAAAGAGGAAGGGAATGTTAAAATCATGTATTAATAAAAATGCATTAGAAACTAAAGAAATATTAGTTTTGCACTTATTAGATAAGGTGGAGTCAGAAACTGACTCATAGCTGACATTCTACTGGATTTTCAGAGGTAGTAAAGGGCATGGGAGGAGACTGTCCTTCCCTCGCACAGCAACTAGTGGATTCAAACTGCAAGCCTTTAGATTGGCAGTGTAGTTCCTTACCACTAAGCCACTACAATCCATATATTACAACTACGAACAGAAGTCACTGTGGTATTAATCTCTACTATTGTCAGAATCAGCCCAAGAGACATATTCATTAAGTGTGTGGTATGAAACAAAAGGCCAGTAGATCAAACTCACCAGCAATTCCCAGGAGAAAGACGTGGTGATCTGGTTCACTAAAGACTGTTCACTAAACAGGTGAAGAGATAAATGTTGTTGTTAAGTGCTATCAAGTTGCTTGCATAATAGCTCTGAATCTTGCTCTATCTTGAGCCAATCTCACAGTCTCTGACACATCTACTCTTATTACCCCAGTTATTGTGTCAATCTATTTCATCTGCAGTCTTCATCGCCTTCACTGCCTCTCCACCCTTCCAAGCAGAATATCATTCTCCAAAGATTGATACCTTCTGGCTGTATGTTCAAAGTATGTGAAATGGAATCTCAAAATTCTTGCTTCCAAGGAAAAACTTAGTTTCACCCTCTCTAGGTTCAACCTGTTTGTTGTTTTGGAATTCCATGGTATGTTCAATTCTCTTCTCCAGCACCACAACTGAAAGACACTGTAGTCACTGTGCAGCTCTCTGATGCATAGCAAGTAACTGCAATGACCATGGCCAGAATCAGGCCTTAATCTCTAGACTGATATCCTTGCTCTTCTGAACTCTGGAGAGGTCCCGGACAACAAATTTTCTCAATGTAATTTCTCTTTTGATTTCCTGACTGCTAATACCAAGAGAGTTGACTGTGGAAATGAGCAAGCTGAAATTGTTAACAATTTCAATCTCTTCTCTCTCTACCGTGAGGTTACTAATGAACCCAGTAGTGAGAATTTTGATTTATTGATATTTAGTTTCAATGCCTATTGCAAACTTCAGTCCTTGACATTCTACAGCAAATGCTTCAAGTCCTCTTCAGTTTCCGCAAGCAATGTTATGTCATCTATATAATGCAGGTGGTTGATAAGTTTTCTTCCAATCCTGATGCCACATTCCTCCTCATAAAGTCCAGACTCCCAAATGATGTTCTGCATATAGATTTAAAAGGTATGGAGACATACCTGACACATTACTTTTCTGATTTTGAACCATGCAGTGTTTCTTTGCATTGTTCTGATGACTGACTCCTTGTTCAAGTATAGATTTCCCATGAGCACAACTAGGTGTTCTGGGATTCTCATTTCCCTCAAGGTGAGCCACAATTTGTTTTGTCAAATGCCTTTTCATAGTCAATAAAACAAAGACAGGCATTCCTCTACTACTCTATGCTTCCAGACAAGATCCATCTGACATTGCAGTGATGTCCCTAGTGCCATGCATCTTCTAAACCCAGCTTGTATTTCTGGTAGTTCTCTGTTAATGTACTGTTCCAGTCACTTCTGGATAATCTTCAGAAGGATTTTACTTGAGTATGATATAAGTGATAATTGTCTTATAATTTCTATACTGTGTAAGGTCACTTTTTTTGGAATGAGAATAAATAGTGCTATCTTTCAGTCAGATGGTCAGGTTTCATGGCACAGCCCAGTGACCACTTCCAGGGAAGTATCTGTTTGTTGAAATAGGTCAAACGGTATTCCAACAATTCCTGGGGCCTTGCTTTTTGCCAATTCCTTCACAGCTGTTTGAACTTCCTCCTCATCCCCACTGCCTCTTGAACATTGTTTCATGAAATATCTTTTTGGTAAATTGATCCTGTATCTCCTTCCATCGTCTTTTGATGCTTCCTGGATCATTAACTATTCTGCCCATAGCATCCTTAAGCGTTATTAATTAAAGCCTAAATTTATTCTTCAGTTTCTTCAGCTTTTTCTTTTTCGACTACAGGTCCTTGCACATTTCATTATAATACTTTGCTTTGTCTTTCCAAACTACCCTTTAAAATGAGCTCCTTAACTTCTTGATTTGACCCTTTGCTTTGGCTTCTTGGAGCTCTTGTGCAATATTCAGAGTCTCGTCTAACATCCATCTTGGTGTTATTTTCCTCCTCTGTAATGACCTTTTCCATTCTTGATGGATAATAATCTTGATATCCTCTCACAGCTCATCTGGCTTCACTCATTAGTGTTTACCCCCTCAAATCTGTCCCTGATACAGCTTTTTAATTCAGATGAGATAGACTGAAGTTAAATTTTGGTTCTTGTGGATTTGATTTTACTTTCTTTAGCTTCAGTGTGAAACTACATATGAGAAGAGGGTGGTTTGTTCCAAAGTCCACTCCAGGGAGAAAGAGATGCTTCATGAAAGCTTACAATCCAGGAAATCCTATAGGGTCCTGCAGGGCCACTGTGAGTAGGAACTGTGTGAAGGCAACAGGGATTTTTAGACTTTGCTTGTTTTGTCTCTGTCAAACATGAATACCCTATCTCCAGTTTTCCAACAATATGTGGCAAGTATTGCTTACATTTATTTTAAAATTAAGGAAGTTGGAGCAAAGAAATACTAAAATCATTTACTCCAGATCACAGAATTGCAAATAAAAGGATCCTGAATGTGAAACTAATTCTTTATACTAAACTGTTTAGGAATCTGCCCTCAAGAAATAATAAACCACTGCAAATGAGTTACAGATACTGTAAAGATCTACGTTGCGATTTGCTTCTGTTTGGCATCTCCAAAGGCAATGATGGCCTAGAGACAGAGTAAGGAATTGCACTGCCAAATCCAAAGCTCATGGTTCTAATCTACCAGCTGCTCTGTGGGAGAAGGATAGGCAGATGGGCAATCTCCTCTCTCCTGCAATTAAGCACCTCTGAAAACCAGCTGGAGGGTCAGCTACGGATTGGTTCTGACTTGATAGTTTGGCACACAACAAAAATATCTCTTAATGCTTAGCTCTTCTCCCTCACTCCACAGTTAAGATATTTTATAATGAAAAATCATCTAAAACTATTTCAATCTCAAGCTTTAAATAATCTTATACCTCCAGAACCATAATATGAAATAAATTGTTTATCTCCTTTTTATGTATCACAAATTAAACAAGTATTTCTATGATGACGTTCTCAGAGGCAATTTTCACTTGCTGTCATAACTTGCAAAACTTGTATCAATCTCAAGATTCCAAATAATCCTCTATTATCAAAGACACAATTTCACTGGGAGAAGTAATTTTTTCATGTATCATCAACTGTAAAAACAGTTGAATTTTGTGAAAGTGGCCTCAGAGCCAGTTATTACTCTCAAAACTTGCAAATTTTTCAAACTTAAAATATTTCTTTTTTAAAAGTAAATTTTATGGGGGAAAATAGACATAAGACAAAACGACATATACAAAATTCAAACTGGGTATTATCGGAAGCTATTTATCCTCAAAGAGGAAATTCAATAGGCAAATCCTCAAAGTACAACCAAATATGAGCATATAAACTAACCACAAAACTCTAAGGTGTTAGTAGGCTCACAGACACAACATCAGTTAAAAAAAAATATAAACCTAAACTGATTCTAAGTAGACTAAAGTTCATCAAGAGCAATCTAGCAACATCTGTTAGAACGGAAAAAGTACATGTTTTCTTTCTAATGATTTTATAAATAAGTGGAGACACACACACACACACACCCTTTCCAGAAAGAGGACAAGAGTAGCAGAGAGGACAGAAGTGAATAGGTAAGAATTTCTTTGGATGTTCATCTCTATGGACACCACATGATATGAATAGTTGGTCTTTTTAACAGATTTAGTTTAAATTGTAAAATAAATTATCTGTTAACAATTAAAAAACAAAAAATTCCTAAGACCAAGGAATAAAAAACCAAACTTCAGAAGAAGTAGAAAGTCTGAATAAACCTGTATCAAAAAAGAAAATTAATTAGTAACATTGACACTCCTATAAAGAAAAGGCCAGGCAGAGATGACTTCAGTGACAAAATCTTGTTTGTTGTTATGTGCCATTGAGTTGCCTGCGACTCACAAAGATCTTATGTACAGCAGCCCTATATCCTGCTCTATATTGTGCCAATCTCACTGTCTCTCATAAACCTATCACCACTATCCCAGTCACTGAATCAATGCACCTCATAGAGGGTCTTCCTCTCCTGCGCTGTCCCTCCATCCTTCCTTCTCCAAGGACCTCCTTCTCCAAGGACTGGTCCCTCCTTGCAACACGTCCAAATTATGTCAGACAAAGCTTCAGAATCTTTGCCTCCAAGGAGCAGCCTAATTTAACCCCCTCCAGGGTGAACCTGTTAGTTTTCTTAGCAGTCCATATGGTATATTCAATACTCTTCTCCAATACCACAGCTCAAAGGCATCAACTCTCCTTCTATCCTCTCTAGTCATTGTCCAACTCTCTGACACACAGCAAGTGATTGCAAAGAGCATGGCCTGTATCAGGCACACCTTAGTCTCTAGATTGACTCCACTGCTCTTCATTCATTGTACTTTGGAGAAGTCTCTAACAGAAGACTTTCCCATCGCAATACATATTTTAATTTCCTGGCCGCTGGTGTCAAGAGCGTTGATTGTGGAGCCAAGAAAAATAAGGCTGTTTCTTCACCATCCATCTTGATGCTGCCAATTGGCCCAGTGGTGAGAATCTTTGGCTTTTTGAAATTGAGCCTTACTCCATATTAAAGGCTGTAGTCCTTGACCTTCTGCAGCAAGTGCTTTAGGTCCTCCTCGGTTTCAGCAAGCAGGGCTGTGTTATCTGCATAACACAGTTGATGAATCTTCCTCCAATCCTGATGCCACACTTCTCCTCATACAGCCCAGTCTCCGGGATAATCTGTTCTGCGTATAGTTTGAAAAGGTATGGAGATAGGACACATCCCTGGTATATACCTTTCCCAATTTTGAACCATGCAGTGTTTCCTTGCTTGGTTCTGACGACTGCCTCCTGGTCCAATTACAGGTTTCACATTAGCACAATCAAGTGTTCTGGGATTCCCAATCTTTTCAGAGTCAGCCACAGTTTGTTATGATCCACACAGTCAAACATTTTTGCATAATCAATGAAACATTGATAGACATTCCTCTAGTATTCCCTGCTTTCAGCGAAGATCCATCTAATGTTAGCTACAATATCCCTATACAACGACCCCTTCTAAAGCCAGCCTGCACTTCTGGCAGTTCCTGGTGACAGAAATGAAGCTGGAAATAGAATGACTAAATTTTGCACAATCAACAACTTCTTATTCACTGCAAATAAGTTTTATAAAAAACATAAACTCAGGTTATACACATGGATTTCACCTGATGGTATGCATAGGAATCTGATCGATTACATCTGTGAAACGAACCGTTGGAGAAGCTCAATATCAGTTTTGAAAACTAGGCCAGGTACTGATTGTGGAACAGACCACCAACTACTCATATGCAAGTTCAAGCTGAAGCTAAGGAAAAGTAAATCAAATCCACAGGAACCAAAATATGACCTTGAGTCTATTCTACCTGAATTTTAGAACCATCTCAGGAATAGGTTTGAGGCCTTGAGCATCAATGAGTGAAGACCAGATGAGTAATGGGAGGATGTCCAGGAAGAGTGCAAAGGTCTTTAAAAAGAGAGGAGGGAAAAAAGCCCAAAATGGATGTCAGAAGAGACTCTGAATATTGCACAAGAGAGCCTAGAAGCCAAAGCACAGGGAAGAATTCAAGATATTAAAGAGCTGAACAGAAGATTTCAAAAGGCAGCATGGGAAGACATTGTAAAATATCACAATAAAATGTGCAGGGAGCTGGAGTAAAAAAATCAAAAGGGCCAAACTCACTCAACATTTCTTAAGCTCAAGGAACTGAAGAATAAATTCAAACATCAAGTTGCTATACTTAAGGATGCTTTGGGCAGAATATTAAATGATCCAGCAAGTATTAAAAGAAGATGGAAAGAGTATAGAGAGTCACTGTACTGAAAGGAATTGGCAGACACGGAAAAATTTCATGAAACAACATATGAGCAAGAGCCAATGGTGATGAAGGAAGAAGTTCAAGCTGCTTTGAAGGAATCGGCAAAAATTAAGAACTTCAGGAATTGATGGTATCCCAATTGACATATTTCAGCTAACAGATGCTGCCCTTGATGTGTTCTCCAAGTTCTGTTAAGAAATCTGGAGGATAACCACTTGGCCAACTGACTGGAAGGGTAATTCTTCATAACATTTTAAAACTACATAAGAAAGGGAGTTATATGGCCTAGTGGCAAGAAGCTGCAATGTAATCCCGAAGGCATGCAGGTTGCATCCACCACAAGCTCTACTTGAGAGGGAGGGGTAATCTCCTCCTGTACCATTCGGATCTGATTGGATGGTACACAACAAGGAAGGGGGAAAAAACACCCAAAACCCAACCTTAAACATAAGGAAATTTCAGTTCATTATCACAGACCTCTCCAAAGTATTGAAGAGCAACGTTGTCAGTATGGAGAATAGAGAATGCTTGATACAGGCCACAGTCTTTGCATGCAATTACTTGCTAGGAATCAGAAAGCTAGACCAATGACCAGGGATGACAGAAGTAAAACTGATGCCTTTGAGTTGTGGTGCTGGAGGAGCATGCTGAATGGACTGCAGGGAAAAGAAACAAGTTTGTCCTGGAGAGGGTGAAGCTGGACTGCTTTCTGAAGCTTCATGTGACATACTTTGGATATGTTGCAAGGAGGAACAGTGCTTAGAGAGGGGCATCATAGTTCGGAGGCTTGAGGGACAGAACAAGAGGGGAAGACTTCATGAGATGGATTGATTCAGTGACTGGGGTAATAGGGGTAGGTGTATCAGAAACAATAAGATTGGAATAAGGTTTAGGGCTGCTGTACATAAGGTAGCTATGAGTAGCTGGCGACTCAACGGCACACAACATCATAAAAAAAACCCAACAGATTTATTTGAGCCACGTGCCTTCAGGACTGCTGCGCAGCTTCTTACCACAAGTCCAGCAGAGCACCAATTTAAAACACTGGATTTTAGGGAGTTCTGGTGGCCTAGCGGCAAGAATCTGCACTGCAACCTCAGAGGTGCATGGTCTGACTCCACCAGATGTTCTGCTGGAGGAGGGAAAATCTCCTGTACGAGTCAGATCTGATTTGATGGTATGTTGTTATGTGCCGTCGAGTCGCTTGCGACTCACAGAGACCCTATTTACAACAGCCCTAAACTCTGCTCTGTCCTGTGCCAATCGCACTGTCTCTGACACTCCCATCCCGATTACCCTAGTCACCGAATCAATACACCTCATAGAGGGCCTTCCCCTCCTGCACTGTCCCTCCACCCTCCCAAGCATGATGTCCTTCTCCAGGGACTGGTCTCTCCTTACAACATGTTCGAAGTATGTTAGACAGAGCCTCAGAATCCTTGCCTCCAAGGAGCCACCTGGTTTAACCCTTTCCAGGATGAATCTGTTTACCTAGTAGTCCATGGTACTCTAATTACTCTTCGCCAGCACCACAGCTCAAAGGCATCAATTCTCCTTCTATCCTTCTTGATCACTGTCCAACTCTCTGATGCATAACAAGTGATAGCAAAGACCATGTCCTGTATCAGACACACCTTAATGTCCAGTACTTTGGAGAGGTCCCTAACAGAAGACTTTCCCATGGCAATATGCCTTTTAATTTCCTAGCTACTGGTGCCAAGAGTGTTGACTGTGGAGCCAAACAAACTAAAGCTGTGAACAATCTCAATCTAATCACCATCCATCCTGATGCTGCCAGTTGGTCCAGTGGTGAGAATTTTTTGTCTTCTTGACATTGACGGTATACACACACAAAAAAATACTAAAATTTAAAAACAACAACAAAAAAAAAACTCAGCCCAATGGATTTTACAGTGCATGAGCAAAATTCCTTATAAGGAGAAAGGACAATTTTTCAAAATTATTAAAACATTGAATGTTGAAAAGGAAAAAAAAAAAACAAAAAACAACATACATTTAAAACTGAACCGATACAGTTGTTGTTGTTGTTAAGTGCCGTTGAGTCGTAGGTAACTCACAGTAACCCTATGAAGGACAGTCCTCCATGCTTGTGTGTCTTTCATCCTCTCTCCAGGTTCATAGGTTTTCCCGAGGCAAGCTATTACGGAAGTGGATGCCACTCTTACTTCC